CAAACTCACCAGTGTTCAAAAGAGAAACTGAAAATATGTAGAAGGCAGCCTGTCCCTTGCTCCAGCTCCACACAGAGGACGGGTTCCCATCAGTGGCTACCATAACCAGATTGGAGCTTCCTAACTCCAACAAATTGGAACTCCCCGGTGCCACCAGAAGGGAGTTCTGAGGACCCACACCCGAACAAAGACTGAGCAAAGACCTACATAAACACATCCAGACTCACCAATTGATGGAGAGCAGAGTATGCTCTCCGAATGCTCTACTAGTAAATTTGGGGATCCCCAGACTTCCCAGTCAATGCACTGTTAGACCCCCAGAAAACTCGGGTATCCGGGGTCCCAGGCCACGACCGCGGTCACCCCAATCACCAGGCAGATTCGAGAGTTTGCTGCAAACTGCATGAGGCTTTATTGTAATTTAATGAGCTAACCCCATGTTAGCTTGGGTCTTTTGTCCACCCACCATGGCAGTTGGCTACAAAAGACAGCTCCTAGGGGCTGCCGAGAGATCTTGTAGGGCAGCGTAAGGGGAGTGTCTAGGGGTACGCACAGGCTCATGATTGGTGTGCCTCCAGGCTTGGAGGGTTTGCCCTGTGTTGATTGGCCAACTGGTTGTTATGGCCCATAGGCCCTCCCAGGGTAGTTGCTATGCTCTGTGCGTCATTGCTGTGGGCTTGGGCTTGTCCATAAAGTACACGTAAAGCATAGCGCCACCAGCTAACTTCTAATTGGTTCCTTGTCACGAGGCAGGCACCTAACCTCTAGTGACTAAGACAAGGTCATAGCGAGCACATGTTACTGTCATGGCTGCTGAAATGGGGGGCTGGTCCCTTCAGCACCAAATGGAGGGTCCAAGGAAATATTGAAGGAAGACCCTCAGACTCAAATAGTATGTAAGATCAAAGAGCATGCATGTGGGGTCATTCACCTGTACAAATGGTTATGACGGGAGAGGAGCATGCAGGTTCTCTCTAAGCGCAGCTGGGGGAATTTCAGGAGTGGTTAAGTCATCTCAAACCTAATTGGTTAAGCAAGCATCAGTTACACTAGTATACTTTTATAAGGCTGAAGGTGCTGCTGGATTTGTCCTTGAGACATGGTCAGGTTCCCTCAGGCCTAGTCCCTGAATGAAAGGGCATTGTGGATAAATGGCCCTTTGTGGAGAGACACCTGTTTTGCCTTTCTCAGAGAGCTGAAACCTAAACTCAGTTGTGAGAATGGGAGAGTTTAATCCCTTCAGCAGGGAAAGCTTAAAAACAAAACAGTAGATGAGTGTTTACCCAGGACTAAGGTGGTTGACATTAGAAACCCAGGTCAGTGTTGTTTGTATGTTCAGGGTTATACATCTTTTTAGCATAGTTTTATCACCAACAGAAAAAGTCCCTTTCTGTTCTCTCTATTCTTTCCTGACTCAGATTTGCATATTCTTGATATTTCTTATAAATGGAAAGGAAAAGCCAGACATCTTAGCACCCTGGCGGTTAAGACAGAAGGATCATGAATTTGGAGCTAGTTTGGGCTACGTGGTAAGATTCTGTCTCAAAACAATAATACAAAATAAAATAAATCTGTTTTGACTACCTTTCTCCCTTCCTCCCTCCCTCCCTCCCTTCCTTCCTTCCTTTTTTCCTTTTTTTTTTTATTAAGGCCGGATCTTGCTATGCAGCCCTGGTTGGGTTAGGGTTAGGGTTATTTTTATGTGCATTGGTGTTTTATCTGCATGTATGTCTTTTTGAGGGTGTCAGATCCCCAAGAACTGACACTTGTAAGCTTCCATGTGGGGTCTGGTAATTTAACCTCTGGAAGAGCAACCAGTGCTCTTAGTCTGAAAGACCTCAGACAAGGTACTTTCGTAGCAGGAGACCCGCACCCAGGAATCAGCGAGACCACATTTGGATGCAAAACCGCAAGAGGTTTTATTGATGGCGCCGGGCACCCGGGGACTTAGCTTTTTGTTAGGCTAAGCCCCGAGCCCCGGAAGGGGAGTCCTTTTATAGGGGAAAAAGGCACCGTAATAGTCAGGCGAAACGGCCTTTATCTTTTGCTGGTCCAGATGGCTGACCTTGGGACGAAGGCTCCCCATTGGGGGGGCGTGGGGGCAGGGGAAGTGGAGGCTGGCGGGGGCAGGGACAGCGGGATGAAGGGGAAGCAGGGCGGCTCCGCCCTTGGCCTTGGAGGTGGCTCCCTGCTCTCAGCTCGCAGCTCCCGGACAAGCATCATCGCCTGCGCTGCACTCTCCAGCCCCTGGCCGCATCCTAGCCCTGCCCTGCTCACGACGACACTGGGACGGGGACACACAACAGAGAGGCAGCGGGCCTTTCAAGTCAATGAGCCTTCTCTCCAGCTCAAAATGGATTTATTTATTTATTTATTTATTTGTTTATTTATTTATTTGAACCAGGATCTTACTAAGTAGCCCTAGCTGGACTGGAACTCATAGTGTAGATCAGGAGGGCCGTGAACTGCCTGCCTCTGCCACCTGAGTGCTGGGATTACAGTCTTTAGCCACAACACCCAACCTAACAATAAATCTTTTAATGACTGATTCTTTTTTTTTTTTTTTTTTTTTTTTTTTTGCCCTGGGGCATGGGGCCGGGTAGGCTTGAGACAGGGTTCCTCTGTGTAGCCCTGGCTATCCTGGAACTCACTCTGTAAATCAGGCTGGCCTTGAACTCAGAGAGATCATCTGCCTCTGCCTCCCAAGTGCTGGGTTTAAAGACATGTGCCACCACCGCCCAACTAATAATGGCTGATTCTTAGGGTGATTTCAAGTAATATTTTGCAAGTTTATCTTGTTAGTAATTTTCTTTCTTTTTGGGGGGCAGGGGCAGGGAACAAGATCAGCTTGTAGCCCAAGCTGGTCTGGAACTCACTATATAGTTGAAGCTGTCCTGGAGTTCCTGATCCTGCCTCCTATTACCAAAGTATTAGAGTTACAGGCCTGGCTCATTGTACCCATGTTTATTTAATTATTTCAACATTATTTTAAATTATGTGTACATATGAGTCTGTGTATAGGTTTATGCATGTGAGTGTTGGTGTTCACAGGGGCCAAAGGTGTCAAATTCCTATCTAAGGACTCAGACTCATGTCTCTGCAACAGCAGCGACTCTTAACTGCTGGACCATCTCTCTAGCCCGCTTTCTTTTTCTTTAAGATTTTATTTATATGCATGTGTGTGTGTCTATGTGAAGATGTGTGCATGTGCTTATGGTGCCTGCAGAACCAGAGAAGTATATCGGATCCCCCAGACCTGGAGGTAAAGGTTGTTGTGGTCAGATCAAAGGTAACTAACTCAATTTCCCTAAATTCCAAAGGCAGGAGGCAGAATAGCTATCTGTGGTGCCTATCAGTATACAAAATCCTATGCTGACCTCCAGGCTCCCTCAGTCTCACACGTACCTGTTAAACATTTCAGAGTCCATGTTAGCATCCTAGTTCTTCTCTCCTACCCTCAACTCCTGTAGCTAACTCATTGGCTGTATTACCCTGCTGTTTCAGCTGTTTTCTCTCTCTCCCTTTCCCTCTGTCCCTCCTCTCCCCTCCCCCCTTTTCTTCTGCTTCTCTCTTGGCAGTCTATTACTTTCTCTCTCTGCCCCTGACCGTTCCAGATGCCTCTGGCTGTTCTCTCTCTCATATCTACAATAAAATCTTCTTAAGCATACTCTCTAACACCCCTTTAAAAAAAAAGGATCTTTGTAGTCCATGCTGTTCTGGAACTCACAGTTCTATCTTTACCCCCAAGTGCTGGAATTACAAGTGCATACTATAAGGCATCACAAAACATTTTGTGTTGTTAGTAGTATTGTATCGTCTGAATAATACAATGCTCCCTTTGGTGTGTTCACATGCTATCACTTCTTATGCTTCCTTTAGATCTTCTTTGGGTTCTTTCCACGTGCTGTGGGATATTGTGGTTTCTTTTCCTTTTTGCAGTACTAGAGATTGAACCCTGGAGTTCTCTCTAGGAAAGCTCGCTTGCACTGAATTACATCTGCAGCCTTTTTTACTTTTTATTTTGAGACAGGGTCTCTGTGCCCAAACTAATCTCAAATTCCACATCATTCCTGCCTCAGCCTCCTAAAAAGTTAGAATTACAGACATATACTCAGACATGTACTACTACACTGGGCTTGCCCCGTGATTTTCTTTCTTTTAATTTTCTTTTTTTTTTTTTAAAGGGAGAATGTTATTGATTGTTGGGCATTTATATTACTATAGGTTAGATTTTGTTTTTGTTTTTTTTTTGTTTTTTTTTTTTTTTGAGCAGGGTTTCACTGTTTCACTGTGTAGCTTTGGCTGTCCTGGAACTCAGAGAGATCCATCTGCTTCTGCCTCCTTAGCGCTGGGATTAAAGATGTGCACCACTACTCCTAGCTTCATTCATTCATTCATTCATTCATTTAAAAACAAGGTCTTGTTAGAGCCCTGAACTTGCAGTCCTCTTGCTTGATCTAAGCACTAAGATTGCAAGTGTACCCCATACTTAATTTCACTTTTGACTGCCCCCACAAAGGCAGCCCACATGTAAAGCCTTGGTTGTCAGTGTCTAGCGAGGTAGTGGAACCATTAGGAAATAGGCTTGTAATGTGTATGATATTGGTCAGTTGTCATGTGCTGTTTGAGCTTACTGAGAGGCTGGCCCTGGAATTGGGGTGGACACCTCCATTTTAGACCCAAGCGTGTTTCTCTCATTGTCCACTGAAATCCCTTGTCTGGGGATGGGTTGGCTTCTCTAACCCTATGACAGGGAGAGAAGAGAACAGCTAGAAGGTGAATTTTCTCTTTGAACCATTCCCTTCACAGACTACTGTTGTTCCATCACACAAGTGCCCAAAATGGGAACTGTGAGCTGGAAGTTCAGCCCCGGGAAGCTCATCTGTGAGAGAACCACTCACTCAGGAACTCCAGCTGGCTGCCTCAGCTTTTCCCCAGTCAGCTTCTGCTAGATGTTTCTGAGCCCCCTGTTTGATGCTCCCTTTTGTTTGCTCTCTCAGTTGGACTACTCCAGTCCTCTCTGATGGGTGTTTTGAGAATCCGTTGATGGTGCTTTGCTGCATTGCTGCTCCTACTTGACAGAGATCATCTCCAGACTATACAGGACAGGTCATCCAGGAAGGAAGAACCAGGGCACAGGTGAAAGGGATATTGGGACCTCCACTCCTTCCGTCTTTTCTGTTTCCTGCTGTCATGAGGTGATCAGGCCCATTGTGCCATATGTCCGTCACCATGATATGTTGTGCTGTCACAAACCCAGAGCAACACAGCCAAGTGACCGTGGACTGAAATTCTGAAGTTGAATCAAAATAAACTTTTCCTCCTTGTAAGTTGGTTTATATTGGGTATTTTGTCGTAGTGATGGAAAGCTATGTGTCTTTCAGAAATTTTATTTTCCTATTATTTGGATGGGTTGGTTTTTTTTGGGGGGGTTGTTTTTGGTTTTGGTCTTACTCAGATATCAATCTAAATCCATTCTGATTTCAGATTTTCAGTTGTCCCTAGCATCACTTATTGACAAAACATTTTTCCTCATTGAGATATCATTGTATCTTTGAAAATCAGTCATGGATATAGAGATTGGTTTTATTTTACTTTTATTTATTTTCTGTGCATGGGTATCTTGTTTGCAGGTATATCTGTGCATCACATGTGTGTCTGGTGCCCAAGGAGATCAGAGAAGTAATGGGAACCCCTGGTACTGGTGTTACAGTCAGTTGTGAGCTGCCATGTGGGTGCTGGGATAGAGTCAGTCAGGGTCCCCTGGAAGAACAGCCAGTGCTCTTAACTGCTGAACCATCTCTCCAGCCCCAATATTGATTTATTTGGTCTCTGTGTTCTGTTTCATTAGTCTAGATGTTTATCCCTAGTGCTACCAAGCCATCTCAGTTACCATTTGAGTACCTGCCTTGGTTTGTTTTTGTGGGTTTTGTTTGTTTCTATCAACTTGATTCAAGGTAGAGTCTTCTAAGAAGGAAACTCAATTGAGAAAATACTTCCCTAGTATCGGCCTGTAGGCAAACCTGTAGGGCATTTTCTTAATTAGTAATTAATGTAGGAGGGCCTAGCCCATTGTGGATAATGCCAGGCCTGGGTAGATAGTCCTGGAATGTTTGAGGAAGCAGGCTCAGCAAGCCATGGGAACCAAGCCTGTAAGCATTCCTCCATGGTCTCTGCTTCAGTTCTTGACTCTGGGTTCCTGCATTACATTCCTGGCTGGACTTCCCTTCATCGTTGACTGTAAGCTGAAATAAACCTTTTCTTTTCTGAGCTGTTTTTCGTTTTATTTGTTTGTTTTTTTTGAGACAGAGTTTCTCTGTGTAGCTTTGGAACCTATCCTAGAACTCTCTGTAGACCAGGCCAGACTGGGCTGAAACTCACAGAGATTCTCCTGCCTCTGCCTCCTAAGTGCTGGGATTAAAGGTGTGAGTCACCATTACCGGGCCCCTAAGTTGTTTTTGTTGAGGGTGTTTCTGTCATAGTAATAAAACCGTAACTTATGGTACTGAGGAGGTCACCCCAATCACGATGCAGAGGCAAAAGCTTGATGCAAACAGCACGAGGCTTTATTGTAGTTGTTTAATGAGCTAACCCCATGTTAGCTCGGGCCTTTCATCCATACACCATGGCCGGTGGCTAGAGATCTTGTAGGGCAGCGTAAGGGGAGTGTCTAGGGGTACGCACAGGCTCAGGATTGGTGTGCCTCCAGGCTTGGAGGGTTTGCCCTGTGTTGATTGGTCAACTGGTTGTTATGGCCCATAGGCCCTCCCAGGGTGGTTGCTATGCTCTGCAAGTCATTGCTGTGCACTTGTCCATAAAGCACACCCAGAGCCATAAAGTATAGCACCACAAGCTAACTTCTGATTGGTTCCCTTGCCACGAGGCAGGCATCTGACCTCCTAGTGACCAAGGCAAGGTCAGGCAAGCATGTGCTAGGCTGTTATGGCTGCTGAAATGGGGAGCTGGTCCCTTCAAGAGCACCTGCTGTTCTTCTAGAGGTCCTGAGTTCAATTCCCAGCAACCACATGGTGGACCAGCTGTTCTTCTAGAGGTCCTGAGTTCAATTCCCAGCAACCACATGGTGGCTCACAACCATCTATAGTGGGATCTGATGCCCTCTTCTGGCGTGCAGGTGTACATGCAGATAGAGACTCATACATACATACATACATACATACATACATACATACATACATACAAACCCTAACTAAGACAAATTGGTATTAGGAGTGGAGTATTGCTGTGACTGACCTAATTAGGTATATGTTTTCAGGAGGATTGTGGATTTAGGAATTCTGGGCTGGAAAAGCAGTTGGGTGCTTAATGGGCTGTTGTTTGAAGCTTGGGAGATAAGGAGTTCTGCAAAAATGCAGATGATGGAGGCCCGGCTTGTAAAGTTTGAGAGACCCTCAAAGAATTTCAGGACAGTTTGTGTAAGACTCTATGGTGTTTGGCCAGCTGGAGCTAGAAAATCAACTGTGATTAATAAGAGCATGTGACCAAATGGCATGGATATATGTAAGAGGAACTGGGAGAAGGGAAGAGAAGCCCTCTCGGTTAGAGAGGTTTAAGGTAAGGGTGAGATGAGAAGAGCTGAGAGGAGCCACAGGTCCTGAGTGAGCCTGGAGCCCAAGCAGACACTTTGCTATGCTAATAGGCAACATAGTTAGCCATTTGTCCTGAGTTTCTTGGAGAACTAACATGCCAACCTGTTTTGTTGATGAGAAAAGGTAACATAATCTCCTGTAACTGATTCTTAGCTGAAATTGGAGTGTCATATTCAGGGCCCAGAAGAATGGAGTGATGGTCAAGACCCAGAAAGGAGAGAGTATAGGCTGGGGGCATCTGTTTCCATCACTGCCCAGGTTCTGAGGGACCACCTGGGACTAGTGAAGGGCAGGCCACTTTGGAGCAGTCTGGAATACAGGTTCTGAAGGACCACCTGGAGCTGGAGCATTGAAGGCAGTTTGGGAGCAGTTTGTACTCTTCAGCTGATTGAAAACCTTCTGGGAAAGAAGTTAAGTTTAGGGGAAGATTTTTATCTTGGGTGTGCATTTGAAACTTCCAGGCCCATGGGTTCTTGTAGTTGGGGGTGTGGAAGTAGTTCAAGGCAGGTTGGTGGGGGGGCGGGGATAGATACCCCACCCTTAGGAATAGCAGTAGGCAGGGAAGTTTAGGCTGTTGGTTGACAGGAGTTATTATCTGGAGTCAGTTTGACCTGGGACGGATAGATACAAGCCTTATCTCATGAGGTTTACATGAACTTCTTTTTTCCTTTTGTTTGTTTGATTTTCGAAATAGAGTTTCTTTGTGTAGACTTGGTTTCTTGGAACTCTTTTTCAAACTCAAGGAGATCTGCCTGCTTCTGCTTCCCAAGTGGTGGGATTAAGGTGTGCACCACTACCGATGGTCAAACTTTTTTTTTTATGTTTACAAAAGAGATACAAATTTTGAAAATATTAGCATTACCACTGTTAGTAATCTGTACTGAAATCCTCATTGTATTTGTAAACAGCTGGAGTAGACCCTTTAAGTCGTAGCAAAAGCTGTGGTTTGGGGTTTAAAACGTGGACACTCTTTACTTTGGCCAGAGGGGAGGGTGTGTAGATTGGACAGAGATGCACAGTAAGAAGCACTTGTCAATCTATACTTAGAAGACAACCAAGGAAATTTAAAATTTTGAGCTTGTGACTTAATAGTCATTGCTTTACCAGGGATAAATTAATAGACTATCAGAACTCCAATGACAAATATTTAAAACTCTGAGCTTTAGAAATCTTATAATAATAGCATAGAGGGAAAGAAATCTGAAACCTTTCTCATTTCTACATACCTTAAATCACTTCCTCAGACCTTTCAAATTTCCATTTACATGCTGTAAGTCACTTTCTTAGACCCTCACAGCTTAAACTTGCACCTCCTCAGACCTTTAAAACTTTCACTTACCTTCTTAAATTCTCACAACTTCAAACCTTTTCTTTCCACCCAATCAAATGCCATGAAACACAGGTGGTTGGTAAAGCAAGTTCCTTTAGATAAAGGAATAGTAACATTGAAACCTGTTTTGTGAGTTTCTTTCTTTAGTGTGAAGCCTGTCTACAAGGTAAACTGCAGGAGACATAGTAGCCCTAGAAAAGGGAGGACTACTTTTTACATATGAAATGAATGTCTTAGTTAGGGTTTCTTTTGCTGTGAAGAGACACCATGATCATGGCAACTCTTATAAAGGAAAACATTATATTGGGGTGGTGGTTTACAGTTTCAGAGGTTTAGTCCATTATCATCATGGTGGGGGAGCATGGTGGCTGGGAATGTAGTGTCGAGCAGGCAGACATGGTGCTTGAGAATTCTATATATTGATCCAGAGGCAACAGGAAGTGAACTGTCTCACTGGGCATGGCTTGAGCATATGTGAGACCTCAAAGCCTGCCTCCTCAGTGACACACTTTCTCCTAATAGTGCCACTCTTTTGGGGGCATTTTCTTTCAAACCACTGCATGGACTAAGCCAGAAACTGCAGCCTTGGGAGGAGGAGCTGTTTTGCTTGCATCTGTTAAACTGATAAAGCCACAGTTAGCCATCAGCATCATCACATCTGAGAAGGGTAGATTAGAGCCAGAAATATAATCCAAATGGCCTCTATATCAGTTGAAATCACAGACTTAACCAGCTACCTGGATGATTAACCTAGAGTCTTGTGGTGATCTTATTGGCTTGTTGAAGGCAGAGGTAGTTGGTGTTTGGCTGTTACACAGGACAGCATCAAATCTTCAGCTGCTGCACAGGACAGCATTAGCCTTCAGCCGCCAGACCCTGAAGATCTTCATTTTTCCTGTGGAGGAGGAACTTGGAAAAACTGACCTACTTTGGTAAGGCAGAGTAGAGCAGTCAACCCAACAGTGTCTAGAGTTTGAGCAGAGCCTGGCAGTGGGTGAGGCATGGGGCAGTTCATTTTCTAGTGTTTAGCATTACCACAATCCAGGTGGAGTCCTCGGTGCCTTGAGGACGACTCCTTTGGAGACCTCAGGGTCACTGCTAGGAGCTGGCATTTCTACCACAGGAAGCTTTTTTAATTAAAACTTTAAATGCCATATTTAGTTGATCTCTGAAGAGTTCAACACATTTCATTAACACATCAT